CGCCTCCCCCTCACCGCCGCCATCTCCAAGTCCACCCCCCCCACCTTCACCTCCTCCCTCGCCACCGCCCCCACCGCCGCCATCTCCAACTCCGCCCCCGCCACCTTCACCTCCTCCCTCGCCGCCTCCCCCCCCAAGCCGCCATCTCCAAGTCCACCCCCCCCACCTTCACCTCCTCCCTCGCCTCCGCCCCCACCGCCGCCATCTCCAAGTCCACCCCCCCCACCACCTCCTCCCTTGCCTCCTTCCCCCCCCAAGCCGCCATCTCCAAGTCCACCTCCGCCACCTTCACCTCCTCCCTCTCCACCGCCATCAATAGCGCCTCCTCCTCCCAAAGCACCGTCGAATAAAAAGTTGCCACCATCACCACCACTGCAATCACTGGCGGCAAAGGACAGCGGATTAATGGAGCAGGCAGTCCCATCTCCGTCAGGTACTATACCGAGACCTGTGTATGTCTATGTATTTTGTGTAGTAAGTACATCATGTCTCATCGTAATTCAATGCAGCAATGAGATGCATGTGAAGCAACGAATTCCAACCTGGCCTTGCCTGCCCCAGCACTACCGTATTTGAATCCGGTGGCAACCGGGCTATGGGGCCGAGAACTCAAACTCCCATGCACCAAGGACTACCGAGGGCTATAGCGCTACCCTCGAATGCAAATATCTCATGGTCTATATGATGTGCCCTTGTGTATTAGATTGGGAAGGCCCCTATCTATCCTACCAGGACGCAAAGGACATCACGGATTTATAGATGCATCCTCATGAGGTGATCACCAGCCGTTTTGGAAGCACGTAGATGCAGACGATGCATGACTTACTCCTCTTAGCTTGTCATTAATAGAGCAATCCTCATCAACTTGTATCCATCCACGACCTGCCGCAACCTATCTGCAACCCCGCCCACCCTACCTGGGGCGACAGGCGTATCGGACAGCGCCACAGCAGCTGCAGGTGCCGAGGTTTATGGCAACATGACCCTAAGTGCGGACTGTGGCTTGATCGACAGCCTGGGTACCAATCTCCCAATCGATCTCAGGGCGGAGCTGGCCAGTGCCTTCGGGGTGCGTGGCATCATGCGGGCCATGTATGTGTGTGCATGTGTGTGTATGTGTGTGTGTGTGTGTGTTAGTTACAAGTTACAAGTTCCGCACACACAAGTGCGGGTGTGTCCGTAAAAGCCGGGGGGGCCATGGACGTGGTATTGGTATTGATGCGGGTACGCGGGAGGTCATCTTCATTCTCCCTCGTCCGCTTCAGGGCGAAGCGAAATTCCAACTATATATAATCGAACGAGAAAATCTCGTGTAATCACGTTTACAGCTCGCGCTTAGATATGAACTCAGGTCGGTGGATTCAGAGTCCACAGTGCTAACCACTACACCACGCGAGCACTGTGTGTGTAACTTGATGAGCAATGTGCGCCTAGTCATTGTACAACTGCTAAAACATGATGCTGTAATTATCGTCCCAATATTTGACCTATTATGTTTTAATAAGGCAATTTACTCCATTTAACTACTTGCCACTGACTGTAACTAGTTACCGACTGATTAAGTGGCCATGGGGCTTGCAGATGGTACCGTGACTGGACAAGCCCCACCAAGGGAAATGCAAGTTTTGATCGTCTATAGACCATCCATGTATTTTCAGGTCTATCTGCATGCTGTGGATGAAACGTGTGCAGGTCTCCAGTGCTGACAACATCGTCATCACCAACCTCAGCAGCTGTGAGTCCTCATCAGTCACTGTAAACTACGTGGTCCGGCTCCCAGTCAATGCTTCGGATTCCTCCGTAAGTAACTGGATCGGCGGCTGTGTGCATATCCCGGTAGGGGGCCTAGCTAGCTGGGGGGTTGTACCCCAGCCCCACACAACAGTTGCCCTAGCCTGGCTTCAGAATCTGGGCTGCCGATCTAACAATATACATTCACTCGTTCTTTCTATCTCAACCCGGTTTAAAACCTGCATCCTTGCAAATACGCACAAATGCTCATCATTTTTGGGCGAGGCCCCGGGGGTGAAGCGCCATTCTGGGGGCCGAGCCCCCCGGGTTCCCTGCTGTCAGTCAGTCAGTCAGTGGCTTACATATCTCGCCCCGCAAAAAATAGCGTTTGAATGCTATATTCATTCTATATCGAAATCCCAAAGGAGACATTCCAGATAAATCGGAGCACGAAGATAGCTTTCCTGTAAGTGGCTGCACCGGGGCCGAGCCCCTTTTCGTCTTTGAAAAGCCGCCCCCCTAGTTAATTTTGCCACCTCATTGAATATTGAATACTGTGTGCATGAAAATGCCGGCTTCAACAGGTCGCCGATGCCGCAGCTGCCATCGCCAGTAGCCTCAGCTCACACATCAGCAGCGACTTCACGTCCCAGTGGGGAGCCGTTACTGCATCACATCTGGAGGGCATTGTAAACCCCATCACCACACAGCAACAGCAGGAGCAGAAGGAGCAGTCGCAGCAGCAGGAGCAGCCCGATTCTGCAGGTAAGTGTAAACTTAGTAGCAGTTACTGGAGAGTCCTCTATCTCTGGTGGCAGCATGTACGGTCCCTCAGAGCAGGCTGCAACGCGTTTTTGTTTTCATGTGTTGCTGTCATGTTTACTAAAAATAATAGGTTGACAATTGTCAACCTTGCTTGCAAGCATAAAAAGAATCGACAGTTAAACAGCTTGCATGGTACACATGCATGTGTACGCATGCATGGGTACACATATGCGTACCCTTGTACAAGGGTACACATTTAGTGCCGAGCATACCATACCATGCATTCCACCGATACCGTGATAACGATGATAAGCATGCATCTAACCAGGCGAGAGCAAATAAAATGTGCCTCTATGGTGATGGGGAGTCGAAGACAATTCTGCAGTAGCTGGTACATAGATTGCACACATAACGTTTACAAAACAGCTAATGATACTCAGAGCCATGTTAGGCGTCCAGCTACTACAATGGTATGAAGATCTCAGGTGTAAGGCGCACACATGGTTGTGATCCGCATGTCGCCAGTTTGACCCAGACAAAGCAAACACCATTATTTAGCGGATCCATAAATACTAGGTCGCCCATGACGACCATTTTTACAATTATCGTGACAAAATGTAGCTGGGAAGGCTTTGTGCCTGAAAACCTTAAGACAGCTAGGCGCATGACGTGGCATGGATGGATCATTCCCTTTCCTGCACATAGCGCCAGAACATGTATACGGCTGTACATGTGTGTGTGTGCATGTCGACCACTGATTTATTGGTGCATGAATTATGGTCACGTGAGCATTTCCATGCATGGCCACTGTGAAGACCATGCATGACGCAACGGGAGGGGTGGATAAGTCTGCCGCCCATTGGTGCACATGCGGTGTAGATACTCCAGGGGGGCTGGGAGCTCCCAGCCCCTTATGGTGTCTCGAGACACCATTTGTGCTCCAAAAAATTGCTGGAAGACATCTCTCTTGATTATTGTATCCATGCCGCTTATTGGCTGGTGCTGTCTGTGCTGACTCCATGGCATGTGCCAATTTACTTTCCTGCATTTGACTTCCTGCTGATGCAGCAGCAACTGACTCACCGTTGGCAGTGGAAGCCACAAGTACCATGGCGGCCAAAGGCGGCCACCAGCCCACCACTACCAAGGTGGCGCTCATTACCACGCTATCGGGTATTGCAGGAGTCGCTGTTCTGGTTGCGGTGGTCATCATCAGCTTAAAATTGGCCAGAGCTAGGCGCGAGATGAGGATAGCACCTGTGATCAACACACCATCGATATCACCTGCCCGTCACACAGCAGCTCTTGCATGGACATAGGCTCTCTTATACTCGCTTATGTGCTCAGACAATCATGAAGATTCACACATTAGTGCATAATATCCGCTGCATGCATCGCACACAGGTTTTGGGTAAACACAAATTTTTGTCGATATTGGCATCGATGCCAATATATATTGGCATCGGTGATCAAGGATATATCCTTGGTCAATCAAGAACTAAAGATAACACTTGCCCACATGCATATCCATGTTTACAGATAACTAGGCCACCAACGAAACTCATCCTCAGCCATTCATCGCCCCTGGCCATATTAGCATCCTTGCCATATTGCCACAACTGCATCTACCGCTTGGTACTCTCTTGAGTCATGATGTGACAATGGGCATCTTTGCTCTGACCTGTTCTGACCTGGGCCTTATCCTTATTTGAAGCGGTCTTGCAATCGATGGTTATCCTAGGATAACCATCACACAGGCCTGTGGGTGCTGCCACCACATGTGTACACAGGGACCCTGAGGTAGATTGAGGTTGAGGACGCCCTCTTTGTTAGAGGGGGGATAATCACAGTATCCTGGGCATATCATATCACATCATATCGTATCATATCTGCATCCGCCTATCGGTATTTTAATATTTTTCCTGAAGAACTGATACAACACCTTCTTTATAGGTCCCCTGCCTGGACCCGAGTAGCACTACATAGCACACATCTGTCAGTGGGTTGCAAAGATTGGGGATTGGGAGCAGGTACTGGTCAGGCGGGATGGGGAATAGGGTGACGACGTCAGGATGGGATGTGCTGCCCAAGGCAGGATTAGGGATTAGGCGTGCTACACTACTTTTAGGATGGGGATTACTGTCCGGGTGAGGATGGAGATGGGAACCCTGTCAGAGGGATGGGGATTGAAACCTTGACCAAGGATGGGATTGGGAACCCTGGCCAAGGATGGGGATGGGACCCTGGCTGACAGGATGGGGATTGCAGGCTGTTGCAGGTTTAGGATGGGCTCGCTGCCATAGGGTGAGGATTGGGGACACAGCTGGAGGATCAGGATGGGTGGTTCTGCTGTAAGATCAGGCTGCAGGTGCAGACTGCAGCAGACCAAGGATGGATGGTGTAGATGTCCATAGTTGCTTACTTGGTGTGGTGTTACTGATGGTGCATCTCACAGCGTCTGGTGAAAGCACTCTGGGAAAGGTTTTCACCCGTAAATTCATGTTTACCCGTAATCACGTGGTCTTCACATGTAATTACCGGCCAAGAAAATTTGTAAACATGCTTATTTTTAAGTTGCCAAAGCATTCCTTTTATAAGGAAGAACATAGGTGACATTTTGTTGGTTGCCCGTGCTGGAAGTCATCCACAGGTTACATTACCCGTAATCACAAGGTCTTGACCCGTAATCCCCCAAGCCGTAATGCACAGCACCCGTAAAATTTCACGGGCTTAATTGCGACGAAGACGTGTTATGCGTGTGTGTGTGTGTTACATGGTTGGGGGTGCGTGACCCCATACCTGTAAGACTACCCATACGAGCCGAGGGGCCAAGGGTAATACTACAACACCTAAAAGCCACGGAGGAAAGGAAAACACCGCACATCAGCCCAGACTAGCGTCTAAAGGGGGTAATTGAGTTTCGGTGAGCCCACATACGTTCCAATATCCTCGCCAGACGTGGGGGTTCCCATTGCATGGCCTCCAACATGTTCTGTTGATGATCGAATCCCTCTTCAGCACGAATATCATTATAGGCTGGGCATTCCAATAACAGGGGTTCACATCCTCAATTCGGCTATTAGTACCACAACAGTGGCAAAACCGCTGCCCCCTGGGGACGTGGTACTTGCCCCTTCGTGCTCTGTTTGCCTCCAAAGCCCAGCAACATAAACGAAACTGCATTACCTTACGATGTGCTAAACGAGGGATGAAAACCTTAGCATGTGTTGGCCACATAACGGCTGCGGCTCCCGAAAAGGGCAGCCCCATCCAGTGCTTATACTTCGCCATTTGCACTCCTGGTTGCTTCCCATCTGATGGGTAGTCTACTCAACAACCAGTCAACACGCTCCTTTACCCCCACGACTTCTTGCGGTATTCCACTCCAAATGTTGCACTCCAAGAAGGAAAACAGTTGTAACATTGAGATTCCCCACCCTCCCATTCTGGGTTGGTCAGGGCATCGGTTATCTCCTGCCGTAAAACGGCATGAGCAATGGATCCCACTTGCTTTTGAAGGCGGTTCCAGAAACGGAGGATCTGCTTCACCATGTAATATTGTAAGGGGAGTTCAGCCAGCTCCGCGTACAACAGCCTGTGGGATGGCCGTGCCGTCCCCACTACCTGCCTCATGAATAAAATCTGCAGCTGGACTGCGCTATCCTTCAAACAGGCTTCGAACATGTCCTCCGCAAGGTTGGCTTTATCCCGCCGTCTTCCCACCCTGTCCACGACCTCTGCCAGCACAAAAGGGCCCCACGCCTGGTGTTTAAATGGTGGCCAAAGCCAGTACCAAACATGCACGTTGCCATGGTCGATTTTGCTCACACACTTCAAGTCATGGGTCAGCAATATGGTAAACCAAACACCGAGAGATGTCTTCACAAAGCAAGGCACCCCTGCCCAACACACTATGACGACGAGTGATCGCGTTAAGTCCGCGTTGGCTCGCGTTAGTTCGCGTAACGGTGCGAATCTTAGCGTTAGGTGCGAATGAGCATGCTTTTGTAACGCAGAGAGCTAACGCACAACGGCTCTGGAAAAGCGGAAATCGGCTCTTCTGGCCAAATTTTTTAAAAATTTATAATTTTCAGATTGTAAAGGTTTATTTGGAAATAAACTTGCGTCGTTTTGGTCGACTTGAACAATTCATCCGTGCGTATGTTGAAACGTGAAGCATACGCGCATGTGTAGCAAAGCGATACGCATGCGATTCCATATTGCGATTCGTGCGTGTGGGGAGACAATGCGTAAAGCAATTCGCGTCCACTCGCACATCAAACGCACACAGTCCGCAAGGCTATTCGCATGCGAATGCATGTTGCGTTTCATGCGTATGAAGGCTCATTGCGTAAAGCTTAACGCGGCCTAACACACACCAAACGCACACATTTCGCGATGCAATTCGCATGCAAACACACGCTGCGTTTCATGCGTATGGAGGCTAATTGCGTCAAGCTTAATGCGGCCTAAGCTAACACAAATGAAAAATCGCATGAAATTACAATTGCCGTGCGATGTTGCATGTGTTGGTCGCATACTCAGTTCGTTAACCTTCACGCAGTCTCATGAGAGAATACCGTTTGGTATTGGTATTGGTATTGGTAGATTGGTAGATTGGTAGACATTGGCAATGTAACGACGCAAGGCCCAACTGAGCATCCCGGGTTACGCCTTTGCTTTGTTACAATGGTATCGAGACGGGGCCGCACGACTTCCGATGAAATCTTCGGGTCGGTGGTTCGATTCTGACAACAAGCAGGTATCGCAGAAAGC